AGAACCAGCCCAAATGTGACACCACCTGTAATAGGTTGTGCCCTCTCTCATCTTTCACTAATTGAGAAAATGTCCTACAGGCCTGCCTACATCCCTCTCTTATGGAAGCATTTTCTTAACCGAGAGTCCCTCCTCTCAGATGACTTCAGCTTGTCTCACGTTGACATATATTAAGTAGAATGCTAGCTGCAGGTTTTCATAAATGACTTTCATCAGGTTATAAATGTCCCCTCTCTTCCCTGGGTTCTCAAAGAGTGTTGGGCTTTCTCAAATCCTTTTCCCTATCAAAGGAGATAATGTGTCTCTTTTTTTTCCCTTTGTTTTGTTATTATCCGTAGAGGGCATTGTTTTGCTGTTATTTTGTTCTGTCTTGTTTTTTGTTGTTTTGCTTTTGTTTTTTTTTAAGACGGAATTTCTCTGTGTAGCCTTGACTATCCTGGAACTCTCTTTGTAGACTATGGTGGCCAATGTACTGGGATTAGAGATCCCAAGTGCTGGGATGAAAGGCTTTAGCCGCCACTGCCCAATTTGCATCTTGTGAGATAAATTTCATTTAATCACAATGTATAACCTCATAGTGTTGTTCAGTTTGGTTTGTTACTATTTTGCTAAGGAATTTTCCATATTCACTACCTCAGTGATTCTGAGCCTGTAGGTCACAACCATTGGAAAATACCTATTTCCGATGCTCGTAGGAACCCATAATCATAAATTTATTTTTGTTGCTGTTTCATACCTGTAATTTTGCTACTGAGCAGAGTCTCAGTTCCTAAGACCCTCAGAAATATGTGCTTTCCAAAGGTCTCAACCCACAGATTGAGAATCGCTGGAGTGTTAGGATTTTTGTTTGTGTGCTTGTTTTCTTTCTCTTTGACTTTTTTGCTGTCTTCGGCCTTGTTAAATTATTGGCTTGAGATCTTCCTCCTTTCTTACTGGGAGTATTCAGCGCTAGCAACGCTCCTCTGTTCTGTGCTTTTGCTGTATGTCTATGTTTTGGCATGCTGTGCTTCCGTTTCACGCCTCTCAAACTACAGTCTAAATCCATTGGTTTCCTCTTTAGTCCATCGACTGGTTTACACTGTGGAGTCTAACTCCCACATTTTCTGTGCATTTTTTGTTTATCTTTCTGTCCTTGATTTCTGGTTTTATTCCATAGTAGTCAACGAAGAGTTTTTCTATTATTTGAGACATTTAGAATTTTTTGATACTTGTTTTGTACTTTCATATACAGTCTATCTTGGAGAATGATCCAAGAATACTTTCCTTCAGGACCTATCCAATCAATTCGTCTTACAATTTTGAGATCAAGCTACATGAAGTGTCTAAATGTCTTCCTTCTCCTATAAAGGTCTCAGCCTCATTCTTGCTTACCTTGTTGGAAGAAAACCTCCACTCAAAACTGATACCACACTTGTTCTTCTGAGCCACACTTTGGCTTCCTCCTCAGAAACAGCTCTGTGTTTTCAACATTCCTTTCCACCATATCTTTAAAGCCATTCTCCATGCCCTGTCCCTTTTCTGTAAATTTACCAATGGCTCTTGTTATCCCTATGGCCACCTTTCCCTCATCCCACCTCTACCTAAAAGGTCTACCCTATGTTTCTCTTCCTTTCTCTGTCAACTTGCTCAATAAATCAGTCCCCACTTCCTTTCACTCTGAATTCATTGCCTGGGAAGTAAAACAGCCCCCCCATATCTCCTTTGGCGATGAACAGTCCTAAGTGTTCTAGGTTAGAAAAACCAGAGTCTCTTGTGACTTTCCATTCTTTTTCAGAGTCATCTTAGGCCTACCTATGCCTTATGCTTCCCGAAACACTGTTTTCCATATACTTTTCTACTTCTCCAAAGTATGCTACATTTACTAATACCTTACAAAGTCAGTTCCCACTGGTCAGGTGACCCATTAAGACTTTCTACATTCTAATTTCAGTCTGCATAGCTTTCATTGAATACTCTGAAGCAACTTCTGGAGAAAAAAAGTTAAGTCAGACACTATTCATGTTCCCAGAAACATGTTATCCATTGGTCGGAACATGAAAAGTATGAGATCATGTTCCCTGGTTTGCTATCACCAGAGAATATCAGCACCCTCTCCATAGTCCAAGTGGTCCTCCAGTGGTTTATAGAGTACCAAAGGGATGCTTTCTATGTATCCTACCGGCCCCCATTGTGCCAAGTAGCCTGCCACAGCCAGAGCCATCATGAAGCATCTTTCCAACTTCTATCCTGACTCTACTCTTCCATATTTACAGCCAGCAGAGCACTTGGAGTCCCAGAATGTCAGTATCCACACCAAAGGTATTGGTCCAGAGTGATTAAAAGCATCTGTGTCCAACCTAGGAAAAAAAATTTCTGTGTTTCCTCTGGGACAAATCCCATCACCTAGTGGTCTTTTGAACATGTTCAGTACCTTCTGATCTTCATCTTCATGCACTACAAGGAGGTTGGATCTAGTGTTGTCATTATTTTGTCTTAGACCTGCAGGGAACTACTCTTACTGTTCCTTCTGTCCATGCACCTCTCTGTCTCCAACGCAGCTCCCTTCTCCTCCCCCTGTACCGCTGAAAAGTTCCACAAATAGAAGGAGAGGTGAAGAGGTATTTCAGCAGCCTTTCAAAGACAAGTCACAACATCCCATGTAGAAATAAGGGGAGGGCATTTCAGACAGAGGCGACCACAGTGCAAAGCCAGCAGAATGGCCTAGGGAATTTGCACATCACTGAGCAATGGGAAAGCCCCTGCTGTCATTCAAAACCTTCCTACAACATCATATTTTGTGCCTTGTTCCTTCCTAGCTGTCCCTGGTCCATCATTCACTATCTGTGCTTCTATAGAGCACATATATACCTCCATCAACTCATTATTTATTGACTGGAAATGGTGCTAAGCAATAAGAAGAGTACATAGGAAACAAGCGTAATGCCTGCTCTCGTTTAGCAAGAAAAGGAGCAAATAATACCATAATTAAAATAAAGAAAACGAGTACTCAATATAGATGGTCCCAAGTCAGTGCCTATCGTCCACATCATAGCTACTCATTCACCTGCCAGTCTTCTCTGTCAGAGAGTGAACCAGCAAATCAGGACTATCTTGTTCATCCATACAACATATGTATTCCCCAGATCCAGACCAGAAGCAAACATATGAAAGGGAATTAATAATATTGTCTGGATGCCATGATTTCTAAATTTTTATCCACTAAATTAGCACAAAACTAAATAAATAGTAGAATATATTTATTCTTTTTGAATAAACTAATAATTCAGGCATAGTAACACATGCCTGTAATCCTAGACCTCAGGAGTCTAAGGCAGAGGATTGCCCATTTGAGGCTAGCCTGGGCTACACATAAGACCTGTCTCAAAACCACAACCACAAAGAAAAAATTTGATCTATAAAATCAAGGGCACTTAAAGGACTCTGCCAGGCAGGGGAAGGAGGAGTTCCTGATGAGTCCTGTGATTACTGACAGTGCAGATTTGTCTTGCTTGGTTTTAATTTTAAACAAGCAGAATGCTGCTTGAGGGAGCCTTTTGGACCCAGGACTTTGCGTGTTATTTTTTTACTCGTGTGGTTCTGAGAGGAAAGAGAGGTCAAGATGACAAATAGCCGTGTGTCAAGAGGCTGATGGGAAGCATGCAGTGCAGAAGGGGATGTGTGATGGCAACACGGATGTGCCTGGAAATCCTGTGACCGCTCAGAAAAGAAAGCAGAAGTGCAAGGTCATGAAAGAGCTGAGTAAAGGTTGGGATCCTCTGGGCCACCCTAAAAATACACACATATGCAACTCTTCCCTGGAAAGTAGGAGACACCCCCGCCCCCGCCAAGAAAATTGATGTGCCAATCATGTTTGTTTGTTGACTGATACCACACACTTCCACAGATCACATCGTTTGTCAAACACTGCGCAGAGTGCTAAGTGCTCAGGGTTGGAGTAAGAGCACAATCACCGTTAGACCAGCAAGCAGAACTCTAGAAAACAAAGCAATGGTGCTAGGAATTTGGCATTGACTCTAAAGAAGCATCCATCCTTTCTAAGAGCTGTAACCATGGGGATGGAGTGATGACTCAGCAGTTAGGAGCCTGGGCTGCTCTCTTAGAGAACTCTGATTTGCTTCTCAGTACCAACAAGGCAGCTCACAACTGTCTGTAACTCCAGTTCCATGGACCCAACTCCCTCTCCTGGCTCTGCTATTTTTAAGACGTACAACCAAGGAACATTGGTTAACCTCTCTCTATCTCAGTCTCTTTACCCATAAACAGACATCTTTTTTATCTGCCTCAAAGACAGTTATCAACATCAATTGATGATGCAGGCAAAGAACAGCACATGCAGTAAATCCCTATTATTGGCTTTCTGGATTGCAAAGGCACACGACATAGACATACTTTAGGTAAATCGTAAATGGCTGGCCGCGCCAATGCTGCCATTAGCAAAGACTTGCAATTGTTGGAGTTTGTGTCAAGGGGTTAATAAAGTTTCTTATCCCTCTCACAGACTGGTGCCAAAATATTTTAAAGGCTTAAAGGGCTGGAGAGATGGCTCAGAGGTTAAGAGCACTGACTGCTCTTCCGGAGGTCCTACGTTCAATTCCCAGCAACCACATGGCTGCTTACAACCATCTGTAATGAGATCTGGTGCCCTCTTCTGGCCTGCAGGCATGGAGGCTGAATACTGCATACATAATAAATAAATAAATCTTAAAAAACAAAACAAAAGGCTTAAGGTCACTAAAGATTGACCAGCCAGGGTGGAAGTAGACCATGGGTCAGAATCATCTAACTAGACCAGTTGCCTATTGAACAAGACCGCCTGATATTTTGCTGGAGGTAGAGCTATTAGGAGTGTCCACCACAACACTTGTAACGCTTTTTATCCCCATCACACCTCTGGCTTTCCTTCAAAGAGCTTAAACAGACTGGCAGAATGAAAAGAAAGGATGCAGAAATGGAAGGGGCTGTCAGGGCAGTTTTCTAGCATTCTCCTTCTGTGTTTATAGGGAATGAAGTTCCACAAAGCAGCACAAACCCAAAGGTGGTGAATGGTGTCCGAGGGGGGTCTGCAACTCTTCCTCTGGAGCTTCCTGCAGGAAAGAATGCCAGTGTCATCGTCTGGCAGCACCGAGGAAGAGAGTCACACGACACTGCAATCCTTATCGTCCAGTTAAACAAGTCTTCAAGTCCACAAATCACGAGAATGGATCAGGACAAGGGAAAGCGACTGAACATCACCCAGTCCTTTTCCTTACAGATCAGCAACCTCACAATGGCGGACGAAGGATCGTATACTGCACAGATAAGCACAAACTCCAGACAGTACTTGTTCAAGTATGTTCTGAGGGTCTTCGGTGAGTCCAAATACGGCATCTGATCACATATAAACTGAAAACAAATCCAAATCATGTATGTCAACCCTGTGTGCCAACAAGAGTGTACTGTATGTAGCCTAGGGATAAAGAAGGTGGCATTTGACGTCACCGCGAGGTCCAGAAGTAAAGCAGTTAGAAAACGCTGCACCACTAAGTAGCAGCAGAGCTGGGCTAGGGGCTCATATCATGTGGCTCTCTACACCAGGCACTTTATTTCCCTTTCAATCAGAAAGGTAGAGTTCATGGAAGCAAAATACTGCCCTTGCTCCTTACAAAGGCTCTGTGAGCTGTGCAGAATCCTATGCCCAAAGCCTGGGCCTAGTCACAGAAGGCAAGTGGTGGCACTTCCCTCATGACTGACCTGTCTCTCGCTATACAAAGGCCGAGCTGACCCAGCAGAGTTATCTACTCAGGAAGTGCTCTGCACAGGTGAGCCAATTAATAAAAAAACTAATAGAAAAATTCATCGAAAACTTTTTCTGTCAAGGTTATTTCATTTTTCGTTTCTAACGGTATTTTCTCAAAATGGCTCATATTAATCACTAATCAAAAAAAAAAAAAAGCCTGCCTTTCTAACTGGAGTGATGATGTACATCTAATCTCTAAACCCAACATGTGGGAATTTGAGGCAGGAGGATCAGGAGTTTGAGGTCAGCCTATATACAGCATAGCCAGACTGTCTCAAATAAATAAACCTACCTCCCTAATATTAAAGAACGAAAGTATTTTCAACATAAAATTATGGAAATAATGAGATACTTTATTAATCTAAACCATGAAAATAGACTACTAGAGATGTCCAGAAATGCCCTGGATGGCTTTAGCAGCAGTGTTTTACAGGAGACCCAAGCACAAGATTGGCTACCTAGGGGCAGTGTTCTTTTCTATTACCGTGAAGAGACACCATGACCACAGCAACTCTTATAAAGGAAAACATTTAATCAGGGTGGCTCCCTTACAGTTCCAAAATTTAGCCCATTATCATCATGGTAGGAAGCATGGCAGCATGCAGGTGGACATGCTAGAGAAGAAGCTGAGAGTTCTTACACCTTGTCCCACAGGCAAGTTATCTGAGACTGGGCATATCCTGAGCATAAGAGACCTCAAAGTTCACTCCTACAGTGACACACTTCCTCCAACAAGGTCACACCCACTCCAACAAGGTCGCGCTTCCTAATAGTGCCACTCCCAATGAGCTTTGGGGGGGCAGTTACATTCGAACCACCACAGGCAGTGAGCTGGCTCAGCAGGTGAAGGTGCTTGCTGCCAAGCCCGATGCCCTGAGTCTGATTTCTAGGGCTCGGGTGGAAGGAGAGAACAGACTCCTGTAAGTTGTCCTCTGATCTCTTTATGCATACCATGGACTCGTGTACACACACGAGAGAGAGAGAGAGAGAGAGAGAGAGAGAGAGAGAGAAGTAAATACTAACTTAACTAAATATTAGTTCATCATGAGGTGCACACCTTTAATCCCAGCATTCTAAGGGCAGGAGCAGGTGGATCTTTGTGAGTTTGAGGTCAGATTAGTCTATATAGTGAGTTCCAGGACAGCCAGGGCTATGTACAGAGAACTTGTCTCAAAAAAAAAAAAGCTAAATAAGTAAACATTAAATGTTATTACATTTTTAAAAATAAATATGTGAATTGATTCCACACTAGGCAACTCTAAAGACCACCAAGATTCTTGCTCTCTCCATTAAAATAAATTATCTCCATAAATTGTTTACACTTTAACCTCCAAATCCCCTGACTATTTGATGAGTCCGCCTTGTTGCGTTAGCCAAAGTCCCGTCACTGGAAAGAACATGACACGGAACAAGTAAACATGCCTGAGAAAAAACGATGTCTGGAAATTTTCTGAACAGAGAATTCCTCGGCAAGGGGCCAGGTAGCCTCAGGGCAATGGATTTGTTTGCTGAAGTAGCCCAAATAAAATTTCACAAGGCACATGGCCTAAATAACAAGAATCTACTCTTGTGAAGGTTCAGGTATGGCCAGATGCCATCTGTTCTTTGTGTTGCTGCTTCTGGTTATTATAGATCCCTTGGTATTCCTTGGCCATGGCTACAGCATTCTGGCTTTGGCCTTCTCCACCTCTTTATGCCCATCTTCTGTTTGTCTCAAATGTCCTTTTGCTTATCTCTTAGACAGATACTTGTCTTTGGAAAGTCGGGGATGACCTCCTCAACTAGTCTATATAAAAGTTACACAGACCTTTTTTTCAAGCAAGATAGCACAAGTCTGGAATTAAGACGTGGGTGTCTCTTTGGGGCCGTCCTCATTCCAGCCATCAGAGTCAGGACCACCTGACTGACTTATGCTCGTCGGGACACTACTAGATTTATGGAGAGAACTGAGATGCACGCAACAGGGAAGCCTGAAAATAGATGCTGTCTGCCAGGCTCTATCATCACATGTGCTGGGACACCATTCTTTTGACACTACCGAGGATGCCATGACTTCTACAGCAGCCAGGCTCCTTACACTTATTGATAACCCATATTCAGGGCTGCTTAGGGCACATTCCCTTCAAAGACTCATATACCTAAAGATATGTGATCTGTACCCCAACCTTTTCCTCGTCAGTGCAAAGGAATTTCCAAAGATAAAGTGCAGATTTTGTTTCTCAAGCACTGACCAAGCACTCTGTATGTGCTAAGATAGAGAAAGTAAAAACTTGATCTTTTAGATCGTTCCCAATTAACCGGGAGTAACTGACTAGAGTTTAGTATTGGATGTGAAGACGCATTTAGTTTATTCATTGAATAATAACATTTATTGCCAGGGATAATGTACAAGACAGTCTGCTATGCAACTAGAAAACATCGATAAGCAAAACAAAGGTCATTGCGCTCATGAAGCTTATAGTATGCTGTGAGTGCTAAGGAAAAAAAGCATAGGACATGGGGGTACCAGGAAACAGGGTAGGAGACATGGTGCTAGGGACCAAAACTAGACCCTTGAGCAAGCTAGGTAAATGCTCTATCACTGAATGTACACCAAGCCCAAGGTATCATTTTAGAGAAAGCAATCAGAATGGGTCTCACTGAAAACACAACATGACTCTGAGTCAATATCTATTGGTGTTAAGGGAGTAGGCATGCAGATATCTGGAGGAAAAGCCAGCCAGAACAGATAGCAAAGTTCTTCTGTGCTCAAAGAGCATCCCTTCAGAAGGTTGAACATCAGTTCTCAGAACCCACATAGACATCTGGGAATGGTGGCGAACATATGTAGTCCCAGCTCTAGGGAGAAAGAGACAGGAAAACCCCTGGAGCGTGTTGACCAGCTATGCTTGACCAACTGGTAAGCTCCAGGTTCAATGAGAGATCCTGTCCCAAAATATAAGGCAGAGGATGATAGAGAAAGACAACCTCTGACCTCCACATGCATGTAAGCATGTACCCATACACACATGCACACATACTACCATATGTGTGGTAATAAGAACGGGGCTGTGTCCCCAGCACCCCGGCCGCCTGCATGGCTAGCTTATGCCCCGAAATAACAACACACAAACTGTATTCATTTAAACACTGCTTGGCCCATTCTCTTCTAGGCTAATTCTCACATATTAATTTAGCCCATTTCTAATCATCTGTGTGTAGCACCCCAAGGTGCGCTTACCGGGAAGATTCTAGCCTACGTCCATCCTGGGTCGGAGCTTCATCACGTGTGTCTGCCCAGGAGAGGAGAGGATGGCGTCTCTGAGCTCACTTCCTCTTCCTCCCAGCATTCTGTTCTGTTTACTCCACCCACCTATGCTCTAAGCTATGAGCCCAAGCAGTTTGTTTATTACTTAGCCAATGAAATCAACAGATTGATACATGACACTCCCACATCACATATGCACACACATACACACACCAAAAGAAAAGGCATGAAGGTGGGGAATGTTTTTCACAGGTTGATGAGCAAAGTCATGTGTTGCAGACTTTTGCAGGGGCACCAACCAGCTCCTAAATTATGTCATGGAGACTTATTAATTATGAATGGTCAGCCTTATCTTATTCTTGTCCCACTAGCTCTTATAACTTAACCTGTTTCTCTTCATCTATGTTTTGGGCCTTTTACATTTCTCTCCGTCCCTCCCTACCCTCCTCTCTCCAGACAGGGTTTCTCTGTGTGTAGCTTTGGCTATCCTGGAACTTGCTCTGTAGACCAGCCCCTGCCTCCCAAGTGCTGGGATTAAAGGCATGCACCACCACCAACCAGTTCTTTCTTTCCTTCTGTATGTCTTACTTTCAGTGTTTCTCATTGACTGGCTGGTGGCTGCCTAGTTTCTGGCCCTAGGCATGTCCTCTCTTTCTCCCACATTCTCTCTCTCTCTCTCTCTCTCTCTCTCTCTCTTTCTCTCTCATCTATACTTGTCCTCTTACTTATTCTCTCTCCTTGTTAGCCCTGCCTATCCCTCTCCTGCTTAGCTACCGGCTGTTCAGCTTTTTATTAGACCAATCATAAGCCTTAGGCAGGCAAGGTGAAACAAGTGCAGCACATCTTTACATAATCAAACAAATGCAGCACAAATAAATGTAACACATCTTAATAGCATTAACAAAGGCAGCAGAAACAAATGTAGCACATCCTTGCCTAGTTAAAATAATATCCTACAATGGTCGCGTGTCCTTTTTCTTTTTCATGTGCATTGGTGTTTTGCCTGCATGTATGTCCAAGTGAGGGTGTAACTAGAGTTACAGGCAGTTGCGAGCTGCCATGTGGGTGCCAGGATTGAATCGGGATCCTCTGTAAGGGCAGTCAGCACTCTTAACCATTCTAACCCAAGCCATGTGTCCTCAACTAAGGTCTTTTTTCACAGAACGACTGAGTAACTTAGAAGTTATCAACCACACTCACCTGTTTGAGAACGGGAGCTGCGAGATCCACCTGACCTGTACTGTGGCGAACCCAAATCATACTGCCTCAATTGAGTGGCAGGCCTCAGGAAACATCTCTTTAGGGGACCCAAATATCACTGTCTCCTGGGACCCAAAGAATTCCCGTGACCAGAGTTACACCTGCCACGCTATGAACCCTGTCAGCAAGCTGTCTGTCTCTGTCTCTGCCCAGAGTCTTTGCACAGGTAACAGCTGCCTTGGGTCTTTGTGGAAGCTTCAAGCAGCTGTGTAGTGTTATAACATGGTTTTACAGCCTATGTGAATGCCTGGACACCGGCAGTGGAAGGAGCCACACTCCTGCTGGGAGAGGCTCTAAAACTCTATTCCTCTCATTAGTGTCCCCTTTCCCTTCCCAAGTCGTCTTCCAAGAGCAAGGCCTTAGGAGCCAGGATGACTTTCTCCCTCCCCCAGCCCAGCCCCCACTTGTCATGCCTCCACAGGAGTCCCCAGAAAGCCTGACAGGGGCCCAAACTAGGAATATAAATGACCCATACCAAACCCCTGTAGGCAGCCCAGAAGAGACTCAAGAGGGTCCTAAAACAAGCTCAAAGGAGCTCCCAGTTTATGTATCCTAAGAGGTTTTTTTTCTTCTTCTTCTTTTCAGGAGTTTTAACTAATGAAAATCTACACCAGTATAAAGAATGGCTTATTGGTCTTGTGCTTATGGTCGCCATATGCATAGTCGTATGCATATGTAAGAAGACAAGAAAAAGAAAAGGTAAGTGTTCCGTCTGCCTTCTTCTATCTCCTCTAAGACTTCAAGTGTTTAGAGTCTGGTTGCCAAGGGTCAAAGGAGGGTGGACACGACCTCTGCTATTTTAGTGAATTGGGATAGTTCCTGGGCTGTGGCCAGACATCTGTTAATATTTCAGGGGAGGTGTACTACCGAGAAAAACAGGACCCAGCCTTGGGATCCACTTGCTCACCCGCCCTTTTTTTGGGTCCTGTTGCCTGCATCCTCTGGAAAGACGCCTGTTGGGGAAGGAGAGAGAAAGCCTTCCTTCACTGAAGTCCTACATTTCAGTTTCTTGCTTTCATTTTTCAGGTTCTCTTTCTCTGGGTAGAAGACAACATCTAGGTGAGCATCCATGCTCTTAATGACAGAACTTAAAGCAGACAGGAAGAGATCAATGGAAGAGGAGAGGGAGGGGCTGGCCAGAGGGCTAAACAGGGAGAGAGGAGAGAAACCGGATCATCCCTGGTCCGCTGGAGCCTATGGTGTCTGACAGTCTGGTTTATCGCCATGGCACCTGTAGAGTTCCTCCCAAGCATATGAGGGACATCACAGTTTTCTACAGCAAGGTCAAGATCATTCACTTCCTTTTTGATGAAGAAAATAAGTCCCAGTGAAGGAGTCATCCATGGACCACCCACTGTCCCAGATGGTGTAGGACAGAAATAGGGCCTGAGCGTGAAACACTCCGAACCAGACTCCGTGACTGTCCTGTTGATGTTCAGCCAAGGTTTAGACCCCAGTGAACTGACGCCGTTGAAAACTATGGTGTGATAAAGAGATGTGAAGGCAGGCTCATTTTCTGAGTCTCATCCCATGGGTGATAGTTTCCAGATACCATTGTTGAAGTGAGGGCACCAAGTCGGGGGTCAGAACACTTGCATTCCAGTTCCTGTCCCACTGTTTCCTGGGTGACTTTGTACAGGTCTACCAAGTTCTTTTAAACCTGCAATTCTTCCTCTTTAAAACCGTCAAGTCTGTCACACTGCCTGTGAAAACAGTGTCTCCGAGGATCCCGTGGGTGGTGGTATTCAGTCCTTCATGTGTTCAGCATGGGGGAATTGCTGAGACTCTAAGTCATAAGAACACCATCAACTCACCCAAGAAATGAAGTAGAAATAGACCATATGAAAGTTCTTGTTTAGCCCAGAACTCCAAAGGTTTGGAGGTGGGGAGGGAGTCCCTAAGGAAGAGCAAGATAGAAAAACTGCTTTGGGGATGAAAAGTGCTCTGGGGGCCAACAGGACCCAAGGTCCTGTGGGAAGCAGCCCCGAAGTCATACCGCTGACAGCCGTATCTTTTTGTATTAACCATAGATTCCTCCGAGAACACAGATACTCCAGGCTCTCCAGGGAACACTGTGTATGCACAAGTCACTCACCCAGTGAAGGTAAGTCCTTTCCACTCTGTCCTCCACCGTTGTGTTATTATTATGGTCACTCATAAACCTGTCATCAGCATTTGTTATTGGGGAAGGCAACCACAGGGCTGACCATCCCAGTGTCGGCGATGATCACCCCCAAGGGAATGCTTACTGCTACTTGCTTCCCAGTGTTCTCAAACTGCTTACTGTTCCAGTAGGGCTTCCCTTCTGGGTAGGGACAACCTGCTTGGAAGTACAAATTAGATTTCCTCCCTTTCCCTTGCTGTGTGTAGCATGATACTCGACAAACACTTGAATAGAGCAGAAGAGATTTTACCCTAGGAAGAGCTGTCATCCAGGTACAGAGAAGCTAGGAGAGCCTGAAGTGGTCTCTCAAGAGAAGAGGGGAGTAAGCATCATAACTCCTCCACAATAAAGGAAACTAAAGCACAAGAACCCCCACATAATAGGATGACCTTGGTCAAGTGCCAGAAAGTCCTCTGTCCCCACTACCTATGAATAAAGCACAAAGTCTATTTTGTATTAATCATAAAAACTCAGAGTCAGATATAGGGGTTAATGCCAAAGATCAGAGAAGCAAAGCAGCCAACAACTAGAGAGTTCTTTTACCTCTACCAATGCTCAGATTAAAGGGGAGATCCTGTCCTCAGACTGCGCTGCTCCTCACACTGCTTCAGACTGACCGCCTCAGACTGCACTGCTCCTCAAACTGCTTCAGACTGACCGCCTCAGACTGCACTGCTCCTCAAACTGCTTCAGACTGACTGCCTCAGACTGTACTGCTCCTTGACTGCATGCTCCTCAGACAGCATCGAACTCCTGTCTCTCCTCCCGCATTATATTCCTCTCCCACCCAACCATATCACTCCTGTCTCCTCCTCACTAGTGCTGGGATTAAAGCATGGCATCCCAAGTGCTGGGATCACGTTTGTGTGAGCTCTGTTTCTCTTTTAGACGGATTCAATCTTGTGCAGCCCAGAGTAGCCCTGAACTAACAGAGATCCCTCTGCCTCTGCCTCCCATGTTCTGGGACTAAAGTGTGTGCCACCATTCCCTGGGCTCTAAAGGCTTACTTCTGCACTCTAATCTTCAGGCAAGCTTTATTTATTAAAGCACAAACAAAAAATCACTACATATGAATGAGACAGTTGTGAAGACATTTCTTTTTTTTCTTTTTTGTTTTTCGAGACAGGGTTTCCCTGTATAGCCCTATCTGTCCTGGGATCACTCTCTAGACTACACTGGCCTCAAACTCACGGAGATCCACCTGTCTCTATCTCCTGAGTGCTGGAATTAAAGGCCTGTACCGCCACCACCTGACTGGGGACACTTTTTTAAATATCTAGATATACTGGTCATATTTTCTGAAAAAGAAGTCAAAAGAGCTTGGTATTCTTGAAACAATGGAAGCAACAGCCCAGCTAGAAGTCTTGGATTCCCCAAGCAAACACTCTTGACTAAGATCATCACAGGCTTTGGGAAGTAGGCTCCTGAAAGGGAGGACAATAGGGGACATTCACATCACTTACTCAATTGCCATTCCCAGCTCCTGCTGGGAGCAAGCTCTCCAACAAACCCAAACACAAATGGCTAACCCAATAATCAGCTTCTTTTCAAGACAAAACCAAAAAAAAAAAAAAAAAAAAAGCATTATACCTTGGAGAGTTTCTGGGATCTTAATTATTCTCTAAATATTCCTTCATTAATTTAAAATATCAAAATATATCAATGGATCATCTAGGGCCTGGGATTTCTGCTGTTACTACTGCTTAGTGTATCTTTAGAGAGTCATTCTTAAAACTAGGAGTTCCTATACATCTGGTTCCCTACCATGACCACAACAAGGTGACTGGGCCATTAGAATTACAGGGCTAAATGGAGAAAGCAACGTGGGTGGCTCCAGGTATAGCTAATAAAGACTGAGACAAAGATATGATGCAATAACTGTCTGGCATGTAAGTTCTTACAGACAGAGGAGGAGTAAACATAGAATCATATGCAAAACAAGAATGTTTCCGTCCCTTCACAAGAGGTCACCTTTCTGCTGCTCTCTGGTTGGGGCCTTTGTATTGTTGGGATGTTGCTCTTATATTTAGTTTGCTTTTCTGCTTCTCTTATATTTTTGGTTGTGAGCCTAGACTTTAATGGCTGAGCCATTTCTCCAGCCACTTTTCTACTTCTCAAGAAATGTTACTAAAATCTCCCAGGTTTGAACTGGTAGTAGAGCTTAGTCCCTACCTCCTCTTGGCATACCTCTTCTTTCTCCTTGCACTGCCTTTCCCCCAAAATATGGGTATGCACAGACCTGTCTCTGTGAGAGCCTAATGCACATAACTCTTTTGTTTTTCTTGTTTACAGGAAAGAGAAATCCCAAAATCTATAAAAAATGATTCCATGACAATTTACTCCAAAGTTAATCATTCCAGAGAGGTAAAATCCATGACTGCTTTATCTTCTTTGATTTTGTATGAGTGAATATGTGTGTAATGTATGTTTGTGATTTGTGCTCATGTGTGTGAGAATGGGAACAGCTCCATCCAGTGCCCTTCCCTACCATTCTCTATCTTACTCCTAATAAACAGTGTCTCACTGAACCTGAAGCTAAACCTGTGGCCAGAAAGACCAAACAATCTTCCTACCTCTGGTCCCTAAAGTGCTGGCATTACAAGCATATGCACTGCTTTTTACATGGGGTCTGGGGATTTGAACTCAAACCCTCATGCTTGCTCAGCAACCTCTCTTATCCACTGAGCCATCTTGCCAGTCCCTATATTTATGTATTTTTTACTCCTCTCCCAAACCTTCAATTTTGCAAGTAAAATGAAAGGTCCATTTTACAAGATATCCAAATACCACAAGAAAAAGAAAAAAAGCCTTGGAACATTACCAAAATATAAAAAGTCATATTGGGGCTAGTGAGATGACTCAGTGGGTAAAAGGCAGTTTTTTACCAAGCCTGATGACCTGAGTTCAATCCCCAGGACCCACATTGTAGGAAAGAACCAACTCCCACAAGTTGTTCTCTAAAGCGGAAACAAACACAGACAGACACACACACACACACACACACAGAGAGAGAGAGAGAGAGAGAGAGAGAGAGAGAGAGAGAAGCATACACATACACGCACACACAGAGACATACACACAGACACACAGACAAACATACAAAAACACACAATAAATAAAGTGTTGAAATTTTTGGTTGTCTTGTATTAGGATCACCTATTACAATTAACCTACTTGTTCTTTAATGTAACCCTGCCTCATGCCATCAGTAGCCCTACCATTTGACCAGCAGGGCTCTCGTGTTCTCTCTGCAGTCATGGAAGGTAGGCTATGCATACCTATTAATCTACTTCTTTCTTTTCTCAAAAAACAAGCCCATTTCTCCCAGGATGAATACTCTTAAGGACATCAAGTAAGTTGGTGGAAGACTTTAAAGGAATTCAGGCAGAGTACATGTACTGACCCCCTGGAGGAGAAGAGAGAAGCATGGTTTCCTGCTGGCAATGGAATCCGGATATCCAGGGATATCACATCAGACTTGATCCTGCATACGTAGGTCAGAGGCTTGACGAGTAGCAAGATCTCCAGTATGGAACCCCAAAACTGCTTTTTAACCCACTCCAGGACAAGTCCTGCCTTGGATAATACACCCACATGATGCCTTCTCTTTGACAACTAAACAATCAGAGTTTTGACTGACAGATTATAATTCTACAGGTAATCATTTCTCTCCTTCTAAAAGGCAAGCAGGATGTGATTGGTTGGAGAGAGAACATGGTGTTTTGGTTAAGTATGTAGTGCCTGGCACTGGATAGGCCCGCATTCATGTCCTATGAATCATTTTTACTAGACAGGCCTCCTGGGATGTTTCCTGTGTTCTTGGTGCTTTAATCTCATAGCCAAAACATGAGAGGAGTAATGCATCGATCAGGCCCATTACTCAATCCAGGAATCTGAGCCATCCCTGATTACAGCCTCTCTATCACCAAGTCCTCACACTCTACCTCCAGAATACATTAGCACATCTATCTCTTTCCAATTTGTAGACCATCCTTCCGTATCTGAGACCGAATGCTCCAATAACCTCTAAACATTCCTTCTAATTTTGTTCTTGTCTCCCTGCAACCCATGGTCCAAAAGACAATGAGCACAGTGTCCCTAGTATAGACCAGCTCTTTCTCTTGTCTGCTCGTAACCCTACACACTGCTCATTGCACTCAGTGTGAAAGCCAGTCTCCATGACCCAGGTTGGTCTGACTCCTACCCAGACTCACTCTGCCAGCTGCCCTCTCCCCGTTCTTCTCTGTTTGGCCTTTGTGATCTTTCAAGTCCTCTAGGAGAGAAGACGTTCTCCATATTACCATCATTTACATCTGCCCGAAGGTTCTTCCTCTGCCTATTGGGCTCCCCCTGTTCTTTAGACTTCAGCTTAAACGCATCAGCTTCAGGAAGAGACCTTCCCAGAACTCTCTGCTCTCTACCTAAAGGAGGTTTCCTTATCATTCATTCTTTTAAACCTTCCATGTTGTTTATCACATGTCGTTGAGTATTTATTTTTATTTTTAGCATCTGTTTCCCTCATTAGAACATAAGTTGGTGGGACCAGAGACAATAATTATTTTATTGCTAGAACACTGTAAATATTAATTAATTAATTACATTGTAAGTGTTAATTAATACCTAGTACATTGTAAGTGTTCAAACAATATTTTTAGTAAATGAATACATTTGTAATGGGTTTGTGTGGTAATTAAATAAGACAATACAGTTGGCTCTTCAACTGTGGGTCTGCTTCTGTGTATTTTATGAACTGCAAACTGAAGAATTTGAGAAAGAATTGCATCTCTACTAACTATATACGTGTGTTTTCTTATTATTCTCTTAAGGTAGTGATGGAGGAAGGTCATTGGCTAATAAAGGAACTGCCTTGGCCCATTTTATTGGTTAGAAGATAGGTGGGAGGAGTAAACAGAACAGAACTCTGGGAGGAAGAGGAAGTGAGGTCAGACTCCACAGCTCTCCTCTCGGGAGCAGATGCCTCAGAGAGAGACGCCATGCCCCGCTCCCGGGCAGACACACGCCATGAAGCTCCGACCCAGGATGGACTAGGCTAGAATCTTCCCGGTAAGACCGGTTCTCACAGATTATTAGAGATGGGTTGATCAGGATGTGAGAATTAGCCTGTAAGGGCTAGAGCTAAAGGGCCAAGCAGTGTTTAAATGAATACAGTTTGTGTGTTGTTATTTCGGAGCATAAGCTAGCCAGGCGGCTGGGGTGCCAGGGACGCAGCCCCGCTGCCTCCAATTACTACAAGGTAGACATAGGTTCTATACTATCTCATTTTATATGAGGGACTGGCCTCTAAGGTTAGCCTAGAACCATCTCCCAGGAATACAAAGAATGACTATAAACTCTTAGCATAGTGCCTAACACATTAAAAAAGCTCAAGAAATATCCAGTCTAATTGCTAGTAGTGCCATGTGGTAGGGCTCTCCTAGAATCCCAGTGTTTGGATAGTGGAGTCAAGAGAATTCAATGTCATCCTCAGCTATACAGAAAGTTCAAGGTCGATCTGGGCTACATGAAACCTTGTCTCAAAAGGAAATTGATCACTGATGTTATCATCACTATTAAATTTCATTCTCCTGAAGTCATAGAATCTTCTTGAATAACTTCAGCACCTAAGGCTGAAGAATCCTAAATTCAAGGCCAGCCTGGGCTACATAGAAAATTCCATGATCATCTAATCTACATAGCAAGACTCTGTCATAAAAGGTAAAATAAAATAAATGAGAAGAGAAAAAGCATACTACTTGAAGGCACTTCTTGCCTTTACTCAAGTTTCAAATTCTCGTATTTTACCCCATGTGAAGAACAATGCTCCTCTGTCCTTGAGAAGCATTTTTAGAGGGAGAAGAGGTTCTAGTATTTGTTTTAGTATATTTCATTTTTCTCAAAAATACTAAATGTGCTTATTGTGAATAATTGACATACTCTAAAACTTCTCTACAATATCCAAGATAAAAAAAAAATCCTAGCTGGGCAGTGGTGGCGCACGCCTTTAATTCCAGCACTCGGGAGGCAGAAGCAGGCGGATCTCTGCGAGTTCGAGGCCAGCCTGGTCTACAAGAGCTAGTTCCAGGACAGACTCCAAAAGCTACAGAGAAAACCTGTCTTGAAAAACCAAAAAACAAAACAAATCCTATATTAAATAGTACCACTTTTACCAAAATGAAATATTTTCACAATTTTGTCTTGGCTTTTAGTTTATTTTGTTTTTTTATTTGTTTTGAGTTGCTTTATTTTTGCTTAACAATATCCCTGTAGTAACTTTCTTAAATCAGAATATATAATCTTACTAACAGTCATCTTCACTCTTACTTTTTTTTCAATTTTATTTGCTAATTGTAGGCTAATCCACAAGAGCCTGCTTAAAGTAGTAACTAAGATTTATTAAGATACACTCGCAGATACACAACAACATGGTCCTTCATTCTGCCTGGGGGTGATTGGCACCAGCAGTCCAATCTCCGACCACCCTGCGAGAGAGAGCACAACTGCCCGTCACTTTCTTTAAAGGGGTCACTGCCTCTATTGGGTCAGACAGCCCAAGGTCATGGGCGGAGTGAATACCCACTACAACAAATAGTTGAGAGTCAAGCAATGGTTTAAAATACATATAGAAATTAGATAAAGGATTTTATTTTGTGTTCCTTACTTCCATACCTTCCCATTCACACACATAAAACACATTATCTATTGATTCCCTACTATTTGTTGAGATACTATCCCTGCCTCATCTTTCTAGAGTGAATAAATGTCAATTTTGAATAAATACAAATTCAATAACTTTATCATTATGGCCATATTAAAAATTCATTAGTTACTGATGCAATACATGATGTGATTACATTTCCTTTCTAACACAACCTTCGTTTTTTTTAGAGTTGATAGTTGCTTTATTTTTCTTTGCATGGTTTTCATTAGACTGCCATCTTCCTGTATTTTTCTCAACTATATAAAATGTTTCACAAGGTACTCTCCACCTAGTTGAGTCTATTAACTAAGTTGTAAGTTTATACTCTTCTAGAAACACCCTGCTGGAGCATATGGCCTTCTATTCCATCTAGAGGTTACTTTCCATGCCTGAAGCATAACAATTGTCACAACCCTCTTGGGGTCAAACAACCTTTTCACAGGGGTCACCGAAGACCATCAGAAAACATAGATATTTACATTATAATTCCTACCAGTAGCAAACTTACAGTTATGAAGTAATAACAAAAATAGCTTTATGGTTCAAGAGTGTGGTCACCACAACATGAAGAACTGTATTAAAGGGTCAAAACATTAGGAAGGTTAAGAACCACTGCCTTAGACAAGCCATTCAAACTTTTTAACTCTGATACGAACTAACTTTTGGTTTCTTCTACATATACATGAAATGTTTAAACCATTACAAAACAAAGTATTATTCTGTTGTCTTTAAAAATAAATTCTCATCAATGTTTTTTGTTTTGTTTTTGTTTTTTGTCTTTCAAGACAGGGCTTCTCTATGAAACAGTCCTGGCTGTTCTGGAACTTGCCTTTTAGACCAGGCTGACCTCAAACACACAGAGATCCACCTGCCTTTGCCTCTCAAGTGCTGGGATTAAGGGCATGTGCCACCAATGCTCAGCCAATGTTTTATTTTTTAATTTAAAAAAACTTAATGTTTTTAGTGGGGAGGGCCTTGGTCCTGCCTCAAAGCAATGTGCTAGGTTTTATAGACTCCCATGGGAAGCCTTACCCTCTCTAAGGAGTGAATGGGGTGGGGAAGGAAGGTGGAAGGAGCAGAAGGAGGGGCGGGAGTGCAAAATGGATTTGGCATGTAAAATGAAAAAAAGGTAGATTTTTAAAACAAAAAAAATATTGTTTTAAATTGAAATATAATTATATCACTTAGTCCTTCCTTTTCTCCTCCAGGTCCTCCTAACTAACTTCCTTCAATCCCCTCCCATGGCCCTCAATTCTTTTTTCTTTTCTTTTTGTTTGTTTGCTTGCTTGTTTGCTTTTTGAGACAGGGTTTCTCTGCGTACCCTTGACTCTCCTGGAACTCTCTTTGTAGACCAGGCTGGCCTCAAACTCACGTAAATAAATCTACCTCTGCCTCCTGAGTGCTGGCGTCCTAAAGCACAGAGGAAGACTCGCGGGACGAATATAAAGTACACTTCTTTACTTTTACTTTTTACATTTATGTGTGCTTGGGTACTTAGCAGGCATGTGGAGCATCAGAGGATGTCTTAGTGAAGAGGTTTTCTGCTGTGATGAAACATGATCAAAAAGCAAGTTGGAAAGGAGAGGGTTTATTTGGCTCACACTTCCACATCATTGTTCATCATCAAAGGAAGGCAGGACAGAAACTCAAACATGGCAGGAACCTAGAGGCAAGAGCTAATGCAGAGGCCGTGGAAGAGCACTGCTTACTAGCTTGCTCCTCGTGGCTCGCTCAGCCTGCTTTGTTATAGAACCCAGGATCACCAGCCCAGGGGTGGCACCACCCAGCAATGGGCCAGACCCTCCTCCATCAATCTCTAGTTAAGCAAATGCCCCACAGGAATCACTAGTTACGCAAATGCCCACATGCCTGCCCTATCTTATGGAGGCATTTTCTTAACTGAGGTTTCCTTCCGTTTGATGACTTCAGCCTGTGTCAAGTTGACATAAAACTATTCTGCATAGAGGAAAACTTCAGGGAGATCTCTCCTTCTACCACGTGGATCCTAGGGATTGAACTCTGGTCATTGGGTTTGGCTGCAAGTGCTTTAAGCTGTTAACCTTTTCATCCCGCCCTTAAAATGTTTTCATTTATCAAGTGATTAAAAATAAATAAATACATACATACATACATACATACATACATACATACATAAGAAAGATATCCAGTGACCCTCACGGGGAGAGAGAAAAAAATCTGTAAAGTTGGGGAAGGTAGGAAATACATTCCAAAACAAGGTCACCAGGAAATTGCAGGCAAATGGATGGAACTAGAAAAAAAATCATCTTGAGTGAGCTAACTCAGACCGAGAAAGACAAACATGGTATGTTCTCACTCATAAGTGGATATTAGTTGTAAAATAAGGGATAACTATGCTACAATCCACAGACCCAGAGAGACTAAGTAACAAGGAGGGTTCATGGGAGAACTCCCTCGTTCCCCGGGAAAGGAGAAATAGAAGAGATTTTGTGAGTGGACTAAGGGAGGGTTGGGATGGAAACACAAGTGATCAGATTGTGGGGTAGGAAGGAGAAGAGGGAGAGCACAGAAAGAGACTACTAGAAAATGGGGTGCGTTTCCGGGGACAGATAAAAACCTGGTGCAAGGGAATCTGCCAGGAATCTACCAAATGACCCCAACTAAGACTCCTAACCATAGTGAAAAACGTAGCCTGAACTGGCCATCTCCTGTGACCAGATTGGTGCCTAACC